AAAAAATATATATATATATATATATATATATATATATATATATATATATATATATATATATATATATATATATATATATATATGGTTCAATTGTATTACTAAATGTATTGACAAGCATTTACGGTGAATTTAAATATTCTTTAATGTCTTTTCTGTTGAAAGCTGTCTATCATGTATTTGGTAACACTTTATTTAAAGGGGTCATATGATGCGATTTCAATTTTTCCTTTCTCTTTGGAGTGTTACAAGCTCTTGGTGCATAAAGAAGATCTGTAAAGTTGCAAAGACTAAAGTCTCAAATCCAAAGAGAAATTCTTTATAAAAGTTAAGAGTCAGCCACACCTACCTAAAACGGCTCGTTCTAACAAGTTAGGCTTTAAGGTTAAAAAACACATTATTTTCCACATACTGTACATTATTGTTTCTCCTCTATGCCCCGCCTTTCTGAAACGCGTCGATTTTTACAAAGCACATCGTTCTGAAAAGCGAGGTGTTCTCTGATTGGCCAGCTATCCAGTGCGTTGTGATTGGCCGAATACCTAAGCGTGTGATGGAAATGTTATGCCCCTTACCATACTGTGATGCCTTGTCCGGCCGGAGCGATGAGACAAAAACATTAAAACTCATTATAAACGAGGCATTTGTTACATCCAGTGGGGACATAATTATGGATTATAATGACTTATACTGTCTTTTTACGTGTTGCGTTGCATCGCGCCGCGTAAACATAAAACCATGTCTGGTTTTACCATTTTTTTAAAAATATATATACTTTTTAGATTTGAAGTACACTACAAGTGCACATTCAACAGTTAGTGGCACTTCTTTTTCACAAGGGTGGTTTGTGGTGTACAGTATCCTCTGTGTATTGTGTCATATATATCATGTTGTGTGTTGCATTATATTATGTTGTGCGTTATGTTTTGTGTTGTATTGTTTGCTGTATTGTGTTGTGTTGTCTACCTGAGTCGAGACTCTTCAGGAGTCTGTAAAAGTTGGGGAAGAATTGAAGGTCCTGCAGTCCGTCTTCTGGATTGAGTTCGTTTCTGTCGTTCCCATCGCTCACAGCCTCATATGAGTCTTCAGCCCTCACTGTATCATCTCTGCTCTCCTCCTCCTGTTCTTCGTCACCATTATTATCATTGCCACCATCATCATCATCACCTTCATCCTCGTCATCATATCGTTGACTGGGCCTGTCTTCCTCATCCTGAAGAAGAGAATCCAAACAAATAGAGCGATTTTTTGGGGGGGAATTTGTGGATAAGCATGCAGTTGATAGAAACACAACAGACACACAGTCACACACTCGTACCATACTGTTCTCTGTATCTTTTGCTGCATTAACAGGGTAGTCCATACTGAGGTCTCCAATCATGTTATCTTTGGCATTTTTAGTGATCAGCTCCTGCAGGGTTTCAGCAACCTCATACTCCAGCGTCTCTGCCTGACTGTCTGTGATCTGAAGGACAAACAAAAGAACACCTGCTAGAACAATCAATTCACAAAGGGATTATTGTATGACAATCTATTTTCCATGCTATTTATTCTGGTTAATCTGGAATATGTTTCCCTAAAGGAATTAATACATTATGAATGATGTTTATTGTATGGCTCATCGATAGCTATCAGAATCACTGCGCATGCCACAATTTGAATCTCTTACTAGACCCAACTTGAGCAGTTTAGACACAATTCTGTCAAACACTCCTCGGTCATCCTCTTCGTAGATTTTGTTGGCGATTTTCTGGACGATGTCATGAGCTGTTAGCGGGGTCCCATCCAGCTGCCGAAAACTTTCAGGATCATCTGAAAAGGAACACATTAAAATAATTCACATCACAAATGTATCCAAACTGAATATTAAGGGCAGTTCACACCAAGGACGATAACATTAAGTATAACGTTTTAATAATCGTTCTAATTTGATCAAAATAGGGATGTCCACACCACAACTATAATAATAATAATAATAATAATAATAATAATATCCCTATCATATCGATTTTATCCAGATGATGAGTGATAAAAATATTGACAGCATCAGAATCCACCTGACTTTAAAGAGCTTGAGCATTTAAAATGGCAGCTTGTGCTTGTAATAAACCAAATATTACTGTCCGTTGATGTGGACACTTTATTGTTTTAGTTTTTTTAAGGAAAAAAAGAGGATACAGTAATGAAACCATAATGATCCGGTTTCTTACATAACTGTACTGTATCCTCTTTTTTTCCTTAAAATAATCAGTTCAGTTCAAAAGAAATTAATGTCCATTTATTTAACAAGCATTTCGTCTCTAGGTCCTGATCACCTTGTCAGGTTTATTTCACAATAACTACCGGCTGACTAGCCCTTACTTATTTTGGATAATAACCAGGGGCATTTCTAGCCTTTCATCTGTACTCTGTAACAGGTCCCCATATTTTGATGCTTTTATATACACTGTTCTGGATATAATTTGACCCTCTGTGCCTCTTAATTTTTGGGTCAAACTTGGTACCTCTGCGTAATATCAATGCAATGTCAAATCAATGTAATATATTTTTGTTCAATATATATATATATTTTTTTCATTTAGAATTTTTTATGATACTATGCAATATTTATAAATTTTATTTCTGAGCTATTTTTTTATTCGATTAAAATTTATTAAACTCTGAGCCCATTCATTTTTGGGCCACACTTGGAACCTTTGTGGTCAAAAGTGACAGAAGCCTTGAAATGTAACTTTTTATTATTTATTTATTTATTTCTATTTTATTGTAAAAAAAATTGGCAGGAAAATCAGTGTAATATATTTTTGCTCAATTATATATTTTTTGATTATTATTTAGAATTTTGAGGGGATTTTATGATATGCAATGTTTATACAATTTTTTTGAGCTATTGTTTTCCACAGTCATTTTTGATCACAAAAGTACCAAGTGTTACTTTTTTATTTTTCGACACTTTAACATATGCGAATCATGTAAATAATTATTTTGTGTGTGTGTGTGTTCACATAGCTAATGTGGCAAAACTCACCAAGTGCCATCCCATTCCAATGGAGCCAAAAATTAGCAAAATTCAAACTGTACATTTTTTGGTCAGTTCTGACCAAAGTAGTATTAATTTTGTCAGCTATTTTTAATTTAGTCTTAGTCTTAATCCTCAGTTTTTGTCAAAAGTAACTTTTAGTTTTTATTATATTTATTCAACTTTTCCTGTTTTAGTTTTAGTCAAGTTTTAGTCGACGAAATGACTGAGCATTTTAGTCTAGTTTTCGTCATATTTCGTCTTACTCTATAATGGTAAAATGATCAAAATTATTATTTTGCTCAGTTTTAATTGCAATGACTGGTGTCATTTGGACAATTTACAAATTTTCATCAGATGTTGCTCTTTCACCAATAAGCACAAATCAATAGAATATCAACTCAAATGCATGGTTTATTTGACCTAGTTTACAGATTTATAACAGGATATCAATTAGAGGCTAAACGACTTTAGATATACACTCGCACTGTCTACGTTATGAAAACTGGTGTAACAAAAACCTACTCTCAAATATTATAACAGATAAATTCCTAATAGTAATTCCAATAATTCCAAATTGTATTAATGTTTCTCTTTTAAAACAACGGCAAAAAAGACTTATTACCACACAGAGGTTGTGTAAGTAACGTTACAATCAGCAAATCACAATCGCAAACAATACAGTCGACACTTTCATTTAAGCAGAACACCTCAAACAGAGATCGCTGAACTCCAGCTTACTTTTACAGTAGCCTACTGTATGTCGGTGTTTTCAGATATGGCGCCTCCGCAGCGAGAGCGCGTGTGAATGGTTGCCAGATTGAATAAAGCAAAAAGCCGGGCAGACCCTGCCAGGGGTCAGTATGTATCCGTTTAACAGAAAAGCTCTGATTGGGGGATCTGAGCTCTTGATATCTTGCAACCGTAAACATGAACGCTCGCATAATAGAGTCTTGTACAGCAGTCTGAAATGTTTTGGCTCGTAAAAAATAAAAAGGTTTTGATAACGTTTTTGTTCTTTTAGCTTCATTTTAGTCTCGTCTTTATCGTCAACGATACTGCATGTTCATTTAGTCTCAGTTATCATTTAATGACCAGTGTTGGGGTAACGCATTACAAGTAATCAATAAGTTACGTAATCAGATTACTTTTTCCAAGTAACTAGTAAAGTAACGCATTACTTTTTAATTTACAAGAAAATATCTGAGTTACTTTTTCAAATAAGTAACGCCAGTTACTTTTTTCCCCATTTATTGATTGAAAGGTCTCCTGTGCCCATGTTGAGAGAAATCGGGAGTAAGATGTTACTTTAGTTCTAGAATAAATGTGAACATGCTTTAATTCATCTCACTCACAAAAAAAAAAACAGATTTAGTTTTCCTCAAAATGAATAAAAACAGTTAAAAAAGCAACTCAGATTATGATGCAAAGCAGCAATAATTAAATATGTTAAATAATACAAAAATCCTTTATGTATTTAATCCCATTTTATTAACCAATTTGCTGCTGACCTTCGATGATCCAATTCAACCATATTAATAAGCAAAAATGACAAAAGCTAACATTTCTTCTTCTTTTTTATTGCTGAAGAGTGTTGAACTTTCTACTTCTGCGTTCTACTGTACAGACGTGAATTTACATTTCCTTCAGCCTGAGGCTTTTGGTGTGAAAGGGCTATTTGCCAAAAATAAAACTTTTTATATTAAAAGCAAACAAGCAAGCCCTGCCCAGATTTAAAAAGTAACGTTAAAGTAACGTAAAGCATTACTTTCATTAAAAAGTAACTAAGTAACGTAATTAGTTACTTTTTTTAGGAAGTAACGAAATATTGTGATGCATCACTTTTAAAAGTAACTTTCCCCAACACTGTTAATGACTTTATTATCGTCCCGTCATCGTCTCGTTTCCGTCAGGGGAAAACACTTTGTTGACGAACATTTTTCATCATAGATTTCGTTAATGAAATTAACACTAGACCAAAGAGGCCCATAAATGAATTGTTGATCAACTGTATGGACTGTAGTAGGTAACTTAAATTTCCACCTCATCCAGCATTCTTTTGGTTGTCTTTTTCTGTGCCATAAGTTTATTTTCTAGTGCGTTGTATTTGAAATTAGCCTACTTTATCAGAAGTTTAAAAGCTCAAAGCTCTTAAAAAGAAGCTAAGTAGGAGGCGAATGTATGAAACAGAGATCTGAATTATGGAGCTGAAATCTGCCAGCAATTCTTGTCTGTCTGTTGTAATTCCTGTAACCCAGTGAAATCACACAGAAACACCTCCCACTCTGTTATCTGCCATTATCTACCACAGAGATTGACTTACACTGTCTTAATCGCTTCCAGTAAACTCGCCATCTGCCTGAAATGTGACACTGATCAAATGTCTGACGCTTATTCTGACAGAAACAGAGTGAGAGGTCTTCAGTAGTCTGAGTGCCTTTATGACATGACATTGTCATAAAAAAAGACTTAAAGCGGTCATATTGTAAGTTCATAATTAAGTAACTATTTAAGCAATAGTTAAATTGAGCTGCAAAAACTGCTTGTCCTTGGACAGCTGACATTGGACAGATGAATAAACACATGACTGCCCACATGTACATATCAGCAACACCTCTGTGTTCAGAAACATGTCCCATTCAGTCTCGGTGAGGTAAAAAGAAGTCTGTAAAATCTTCTCTTTGACTGTGTGTAGCACCTATGACTCTGCAGATCATTTCGAAGGATCCCAATGATAGAAACGAGCAGTGTGATCTTAATCGGAACAGCACAATTTAGGATTTTCATGATTTTCTTATGAATCACAAATCACAATAAGTCACAGTGCAATTGTGGCTATGCAAGGAGGTTGTTTGAAGGAAAACAACATATATTTCAAAAACTGCATTTAACCCATGCAGCATGCATTAATATTTCATATAGTAATTTCACATGTACATACTGTTGGTTAGCCAATCATAAAAGAGGACATTTGCTTAAAATGCACAAAAACGGCATATTTAATTGTAAGGGTCATAAAGTTGAAAATGGACATACAAATAAATACAAATAAATCACTGTTGAATTTCGTGCAAAAACATCATAGGAGGGGGTGGGGGAATGGTAAAAGGAATTATGACATGACCTCTTTGAGCTATTGCGCTACTATTAGGTTATAGGGTTTTTAATGTGGGTGTATGTTTAGTCTGACTGCCCTGTTGTAGGAGACTGTAGGGTTTAATGCTATAAAACGTCCAGTATACAGCAGCCTGTGGAGGGATAATCCTCTGATTCTCTCTCTCTCTCTCTCTCTCTCTCTCTCTCTCTCGCTCTTTATCTCTACAAAATCCTCCTGATTGACCTATGGTGTCTGCCACCTGTTCCTTTATTTAGGATCACAAGAGTCACAGGGATGGATAAGTACTTTCAAAGTGGGAGATAATTTGGTTTTTGACAGGTCACAACTAAAAAAATATTCATGGATGTCTCTCTCTCTCTCTCTCTCTCTCTCTCTCTCTCTCTCTCTCTCTCGCTCTTTATCTCTACAAAATCCTCCTGATTGATCTATGGTGTCTGCCACCTGTTCCTTTATTTAGGATCACAAGAGTCACAGGGATGGATAAGTACTTTCAAAGTGGGATATAATTTGGTTTTTGACAGGTCACAACTAAAAAAATATTCATGGATGTTTTACTTTTTCTTGACAAGAAGACATAAGCTATGCTCATAATAGAATATTAACAGTGAAAACTGCATACTAAATAGTGAGTGAAACAGTATGCTATTTTAAATGGACATACAAATTGTTGCATTTTTTAAAATTTAACTTT